TTTTGTTCATTTTCCTTCCAGAGTCAGTTTTTGAGCCGTGTTCACAAACGATGCAGACAGCAACAAAAGGAATTTTATCACGTTCTTCGTTTTCAGGTTCTGATCAAGATTAGAAAAAATGTTTACAGTGTTTTTTTCTCCCTCAGCTGATTCACTGGAACGAGTCAAAACAAGCTGGATGATCAAAACATGTTTACTAGGAGCACATGTGAAGGTGTCTGAACTCCACCTCTTCTCATAAGTCAATGTTTAAATGGAGACAGCTTTAACTACTGAGGACTAACTGGAGACAACTTTAAGTAATGATATCAAAAGGGCTCATGAAGCATCGGCAGAGATTTCAATGCTGGCTGAAGATCTAGTCTTTGGAGTCAACCCAATTCAAGATGGCCACCATGGCCAACTAATCTTAGAAAACACAGAAATGGCTTCAGTCAGTTTTACAGACGTTGAGCTACTTGAGGTGGTAGCTGAGAGTCCTTAAGAGCACACACACTGAGCAAAATCTGTGCTTAACAAGGTTCTACCCCTGGACGTCTACCCATCGGATACCTACCCCCTTTGGATATTAACCCCCCACCCCCAGACACCTACACCCCTAGGACACTTATCCCCCCAAACACCTACGCCCCTAGGACACTTATCCCCCCAAACACCTACGCCCCTGGGACACTTATCCCCCCAAACACATACGCCCCTAGGACACATATCCCCCAAACATCTACGCCCCTAGGACACTTATCCCCTCAAACACCTACGCCCCTAGGACACTTATCCCTCCAAACACCTACGCCCCTAGGACACTTATCCCCCCAAACACCTACGCCCCTAGGACACTTATCCCTCCAAACACCTACGCCCCTGGGACACTTAATCCCCCAAACACCTACGCCCCAAGGACACTTATTCCCCCAAACACCGACGCCCCTAGGACACTTATCCCCCCAAACACCTACGCCCCTAGGACACTTATCCCCCCAAACACCTACGCCCCTAGGACACT